TGCATTGCAGATAGGGTTGGGTATGGCAGTTGCTCCCTTTGCTGGTTATCCTTGATCTGTAGTTTGCTCAAGATCTGGCAGGATGATATAAGCACCAAACTTAGTTGGTGAAGGATTTTCTTACAGTTCAAAAAACATGGTGTTTCATGGGAAGTTCGATATACACAAGCTCTTGGAACCAGATGGGTCTAGTTTTGAATTTAGGCAGAGTCACTTGCCAGTAGCGCAGTATTGGACAACTTGCTTAACCAACTTAACTTTCACTGTTTTCATGTCTTTAAAGTGAAGATATTAAAACCTACCTCATAGACTGCCCTGAGGGTTAAGTGAAAGCATATTTCTGGTATGGCTCAGTAGTCATACCTGGCTCCTAAATGCTGGCTAAAGATCAACTTATTGAGCTTAGTTCTCAGTCCATTTCTAAGGATGAAACTGAACTTTTGATAGAATTTGGGGATTAAAAGGCAACCGAGATAATATGATCTTTACTACTCCTTTGCTCACTCATTTCATAGAAATTTCTCTTAGTGTTAAAAATAAAGCAAAAGGGAAGCTTTATGTGCCCCATATTAAGCAAAGAACAAAGAAGAAATTCAAGCAATAAACCATGTGCAGTGGAGAAGGCACAGAATCCTCTAAAAGCCCTAAAACCCAGAGATGATCATCAGTAACATTTTGGGTGAACATCACCAGGCATTTCTCTGTATACAAAGCTGTTTTTCCAGTGTGCATATATGATTGAAGAACCTACAGGTAACGATGGCTTCTTATCCATCCCTACATAGATGTGCAAAGGCCTTTGATTTCACTGAGGAAAACTGAGAGTGTTCCTCACAATTTTTTTTTTCTGAAAAGAAACAAAGATCTGTTCTTCATGAGCATCCTCAAAGTAAGGCCTTCTTGTCCAAACAAATTCAAATAGATGATAGACAGTACATGGAATCCCCAAAGCCCATCAAATTCTTGCTAAACATATTTTATTTATAATTCTCATAACAACCCTAAAACTTGGCTGTTATAAGTCCCATTTAGCAAAAGAAAAAGTTACTCAGACATCCTTGGACTGGAACAGGGCCATCCATCCCCCAGTAGTTAGCCAGGAATTCTTATTACAGGTTAAGTCCCTGATGATGGTGAATATTAAGAATCCACAATAGTTAGCTTTAGAAAAGTGAACCATGGGTCAAATCTTCAGTGTTTCTATGTGTTCCTGAGGTATAGCAAATGTTAAACCATGAGTTCAAATATACTTTAAGAAGTTTTAACATATCTGAGGCCTCAGAATTACTTCTCATGCTTATTCATCAATTGAGTTCTCCCAAAATAGAAATTATTAAACAAAACCATGAGAAAATAAATATATGTTAAGTATTTGAGTAGCTAATGCATGGTTACCTATTAGTACATTTGCTAAATTGTATTTTATGGCTGATTATGTAAAAATGTCCCAGAAATTTCTTTATGTAAACAAAGACATAGAGATGGCATTGCAGAGTAGTGGGTTAAGCGACTTTCCAGGCCAGCATCCCTGCTCCACATTCAGTCCAACTTCCTGTTAATTGCCTAGGAAAAGTGGTGAAAGATGCTTCAAGTGATTGGACCCCTGCACTCACATGGGAAATGTGGAAGAAACTGCTGGTTGCTGGTTTAGCCCAGTCCTTATCTTTGTTGCTACATGGGGAGTGATCCAGTACATGGAACATTACTCTTTCTCTCTCTGTCTCTCCTTTATTCTCTACTTCTTTCTTTCTCTGTCTCATCCACTCTCTCTAACTCTGACTTTGAAATACATGAATAAATCTCAAAAAAAAGAATGAAAAACTATAGCCTAATAATGTCTGTTTGAAAAAAAATTCTGACAAAAGCAAATGTAGTGGGAAGGAAAGAACATTCTATATCATAAGAGACATTCTATGTAACTAATTAAGTATTTCTTGTTTGAAAACAAGCAGATTGGAAAGTTATAACAGCTAAGATTGATTAGTCCCTCAGTGTGAGTTAGATACTTTATCTGAACCTAAAAATCTCTAAGGTCCCTTTAGCACTCACATTCTAACACTTGCAACACACTGCTCCCATTACAGATAACTGTAGAAACTTAACTTTGTTGCATTGTTGCAGGTGTTCCAACAATTTCTGCTCAGCTATGATGTATGAGGCTTCTGCTTGCATAGAAACTCTGTTGTGGGGCCATTGAGTGGATAACGATAAAGAAGACTCGCTTCTGGATCCCAACATGTTTTTCTGGTGTTCACTCTGATCCTACCCACTAGCTTTAATAATGCATACTTTTCTGTTTACCCAAACTGAATTGCAGGCAGCTCCAAACCTCCCTACCTCCAGCTGCACTCTTTTTCATCTGCTAACGAAACAGCTATGGAGGAGACCAGCTCTAAACAGCTGTTTGGTTGCTTGGGTCAGTTCACTTTAGGGCTCTGCCTTTCCCAATGGCAGACACCCAGTCCCTATGGCCTGGGAGAATTTCTTCACAATGGCTTTCCTAGTACAAGACGCGTCATGGGATGACTAATCTAGGAACACTAACTAAACAGTTCCTGGAACTGAAGCTGAAGTAAGAGAATGATGGTGACCTTGTGGAAAGAGTCATTCTTCCTTCTGACCAAGAGGAAAATCTAAGTGGCAGAGGAGGAAGCCTACCTCTCCACCTGCATATCAAGCCACATCTCAATTATGTCACATGGATATCTCAGCTATAGCCTTGACCATGGAAGACCTGGAATCTGATTGTTCAGTGAACCCTTGACATCCAATTTCTTTCTTTTTAAAAGAATTATTTATTTTATTGGAAAGTCAGGTACACAGAGAGAAGAAGAGACAGAAACAAAGATCTTCCATCACCATTGATTCACAGCGGCCGCAAAGGCCGGTGCTGTGCTGATCTGAAGCCAGAAGTCTGGTGCTTCATCCTGGTCTCCCACACAGGTGCAGGGTCCCGAGGCTTTGGGCCATCCTTGACTGCTTTCCCAGGCCACAAGCAGGGAGCTGGATGGGAAGCAGAGCAGCTGGGACAAAACCAGCACCCATATGGGATCCAGGCACATAGAAGGTGAGGACTTAAAACACTAGGATATCACACCAAACCCTGCCATTCACTTTCACGTAGAAAGTAGAATAAAAGGACTTCCCACTTCCTGTGGTCCTGGAAATCTGGCTTGTTATGCTACAATCTTGCTTCCTTACTCTCATTTCTGATATGCCTGAGATTCATGTGCCTTTGAATTTACATGTTCAATACCTTTTCTCTGGAATGTCATGAATCCTGATTCGCTAGCATGATCACTCTTCTTTGTAAGTGGATCCCAGTATTCACACCCTTTTAGAGCCACACTTTTGGCCCACTCCTAGCTCCCTTCCATGTGCATGCCCTCTAGTATACAAAAGAGCACATTGTATTGTGCTTCCTTGTTACTATGCTCGACTCTACAAACACTCTGAGGTCGATAACCATATCAACTGTCTTGCACTGAGTACAGTGCTGGGCCAGTGGTGTGTTGTGGGACCAGAGTTAGGGAGAACAGAAGTCTGAGAATACATGGGCAGCCAGGGATCAACATGAAGTCACAAGAAGCTAATGGGATTTATTCTTCCCGGTGCATATTTCTTGCAAGTGGACAAAAGTGAGATTGTTTAGATGGCAGAAAACATTGCAGTGAAGGGATGGGTTTTGAATTATTATTATTATTACCCATGAGCAGAGATATCCAATCCGTTTGTTTAAAAGCTAACTACTCTTAAGTGGCCTACACAGGAAATGTCACAGGAAATCATGCTTCACTTCACCCTCTACTCCCATTCAACCACAATTGCAAAACACTGCAGATTCTGCTTTACAGTGAAAGAGCAAAACGTCTGTGACCAATCAGCAGCTACAATTCTTCTGGTGCAGCTCTCTTCCAAAACGCCTGCACAGTATGATCTCTCTCATCTACCACAAAATTCCCTAGGGGCAGTGATGTCTGTGGAATCAATAATCCACTCTGTTTTGCCTCTCACCCTCCCCACCAGCACTTTCCATAGTACCTGGCCTTAGGAGGCACCTAACTCCTAGTTATTAAGGAAATTTGGTAGAAAGTTTATTCTTCATTTTGAAACTCAAGACCTAGGAGCCCCCAAAGTATGTTGGAGTCTAGAGCTCCCTGTCTTGCTGCAACCCCTCCTCTTCTTCCTCCTTTAAGTGAGTGTGGTCACAGGGGACTTTCCTCCCTGCCTCTCAGAGCCTAATGAAATGAGATTCTCACAGGCCTTGAAGCAGAAAGCTCTGATGCAGTCTTCTGTAGTGATCAGCAACTAACGCAGTAGTCACAGAAAGTCAGAATCCAAGTTGGCTACCCCGTGAATGAGTCCATGTAGCCTCAGTCATTTGTTATGTCACACTCCTGTTTTATACACCAAGGCTAAGTTTATGTGGGGAAGCCTTGAGCATCACCACGCACCTCCTGCACTTTGAAAACCAAGAAACTAAGTATTCATTGGCCCTGGGTGGCTTTCATCTCTCAACACCCAGTGACTGCACACACACTTATGATTTTTAACTGTCCTATCTAGTGCCTGTAGGGAATCAATAATTTTCATTTAGGAAATTTCCCTAATGAACGAGATCCACATCTCCCAGCAGCCTTCCCAAATGGCTCGGGTGACTTCTTGCTTCATCTGAAACTCCCAAGACTGATTATCTGGACTAGAGTACAAGGAAATCTTCCCAACTTCATCTTACACAGACAGCTCTGGGTATCAGAAAGTAGTGGGAGCAGCAGTTCAAGTATAGCAGCTTAAGCTACAGACACCCAGGCCCAAACTGGAGGCGACATCAGGATCTCAAAGGTTGTCTCTACTTCTGACTGCGCTAAGTATTTGTGAAACAAAACTCTGCGTTTTAGAGTCACTAAGAAGCTGTAAAGATTCTAAAAACTACACCCTGCTCTACACAACAGGGTTCAGAGCTTTGCTTTTGAGCCAGGCAAAAACATAGTCAATCTTACCTTTTCTGGGTACCACTCCTTAATCTTATAGGCAGACTTCAGTGGCGATACTTGAGGCAGATGCGACAAGGCTAGTGTAACACAGCTCTTGGGAGCTATTTGTGTAAAAGGAGAAGTGAGGGGTGAAAAAGGTCCGGTCACAATGTGACGACAGGAAGTGCAAATGAGAAGAGGGAGGAAGTGAGGCTGAGTCCGCCCTCTTTAGCCACAGAGTTTCAAATCTTCCCCACAGCCTTTTTAAAACCTTCTTGCCACAGCCTAACCTAAAGTGGCTGCAGTGACACAAAGGAAAACCAAAGATCAGGTTGGTTCCAACACAGAACCTTGTTCTGGGGTGATGTCACTCATGATTTTTGTCTGGAAAAAGGGACTGTCTCAGACAATGATGGGGACTCAGAATTATATGTGGCTCTGCTCTGGAACAAGAGGCCTAGCCCTGCCATCTGTGTCTTCCATCCAGGTGGCCTGAGACTCAATGGGGCCAAAGGACCAATGCTTTCTAAAGCTTCCTTTTTGAAGGCATTCTGTTCTCTCCAAACCCTCTCTTTAGCTGGCTGTGGAGCAGTGTCTGGGTTCCTCCTGGATCGGACAAATCTTCTTTACCTCACAAACCAGAGTATCCTTAATTGGGAGATTGGCCAGAGGCAGGCCTCAAGGCTTGAGCCAGGATGAATGATGATGAATGGGATGAATGATGTAGTCAGTAGTGGGAGCCCCAGATTTTGAGCCCATAGGTTTGCTTTGAATCCCTGTTCAGTCTCCACTGGCTGTTTGATCTACAGAATGACACTAGCTCTCAGTCTCAACTTATTAATAGTAACGTCTAACAAAAAGCCGCTACTCGCTGTTCCTCTTCTATTCCCCTTTGTAGGTGAAAAAGCAGAGGCTAAGAAAGATTAGAGAATTTACACAATTATACAACCAAGTAGTGGCAGTTTGGATTCAAATTCAAAGTCATCAAGAATGTTGTTTGGGAAAAGAATATGATCAGTAGATTTTTTTTTTCCCAAGTTATTTTTAGTTTTTACTTTTGCTGCAACTGCTGGAGTTTTCTTAGGTTAAGACGGTCAAGGGGTAGGTAACAATCTAAATGTTGAACCTGACACTAGCTTTGAACTTAACACCCGTCACTGAACCTCAGCTTTTTCCTCTGATAAATGGAGAGATGGATGGCTCTCTCTTCCCAGCACTGGACAGAGAAACCTACACACTGAGGAAGCTATCTCTCTACCTTTTCCTTTGTCTAAGATGGCTAGACTCTGGAGAAGCCCATGACCAGAGCTGCCTCCTGCAAGAAACTGAGTTATAGAGAGGGAAGGGCTTTTTTTTTTTCCCTGCAGCATTTGTCAATCCCAGATTTCCCAACTTGTTTGACTTTAGAGCAATGTGTGTGTGTGTGTGTGTATGCATGCACAGGGACAGGTATACTAGTGTGCGATCTTTCTGAAGAAGCAACTTTTAAGCATGAGTCAGGATGTTGCTGTTACAAGCTCCCATATCTAGGGTGTCAGTCACGGCTTCTGTGCTGGGGCTGTGGCAATGCTGGGTCATTACTGGGGAGCTGTGGTGAGTCTCCTCACTTGATTCACATGTTCTTAGGTTCCTCACCCATTCTGTTGTTTTCATTTGGTAACTCTCAGTTCCACAGGTTCACAGCTCTGCATATGTGTGTCCCCAACTCTCATTTGACCTCCATGTGCATCTGCACAGGTGTCTGTTAGAGTATAGTATCTGAATTCAATTCATATTCAAGTCTGTCCATGTCCACCACCCCAGAGGAATGCAGACTAGCCCACTTCCACTTAGCTATGAGTCAGAGTCCCTTTTAAGCTTCTGCCTCTCCCACGCCACCACCCATCACCAACCACTAAGTCCTATGAAGTGTACTTTTGCCTAAACACTGCTCCAATCAGCTCACTTCTTCCCAGTCCAGCAGTCATTACATTGATCTTCATCCCTCACCTGCCTTCACAAGACCCTCTCTCCTGAAGCACCCCCCTACCACACACACACACACACACACACACACACACACACACACACACACACGCACACACACCCAGAAACCCCAATAGTGTAGGCTTGGATGTGCCTCCTCCCTCTGCTCCAGCTTTAGCTCTCAGTTGGCCACTCCTTTCTCATCCATCCCTTCTCTCTGCCACCACACACACACATAGTGATATGATAGGACACCAGTTTTTTTCAAGTTGCTTGGATGACTCAGCTTATTCTCTCTCACTTGCTCTCACTCTCTTGCTCTCTTTCTCTCCCCTACCCTCTCAACATTGACTCATTCCCATTCATCCCCCATTTCCCAGGACCTTCTGGAAGCTCCCCTAGACAAGACGAGACACTCCTGCATGTTCATACTGCCTGCTCCCGTTGTCCTTCCTTGTAAAATGAGGGCAGGTACAGCAGGCTAAGCCACTACTTACATCACTGGCACCTCATTTCAGAGTTCCAGCTGGAGTGCAAGCTGGAGTCCAAGCTGTTCTGCTTCCAGTTCAACTCCCTAGCACTGGGAAGGCAGCAGAAGATGGACCAAGCCGTTGCCACCCACATGGGAGACCAGGATAGATTTCATGGTTCCTAACTCAGGCCTGACCAAATCTGGCAGTTGTAGCCATTTGGGGGTGAACCAGCAGATAAAAGAGCACTTTCTGGGTCCAGCACAGTAGACTAGTGGCTAAATTCCTCACTTTGCACATACTTGGATCCCATGTGGGCACCAGTTCATATCCTGGTGCCCACTCCCGTCCAGCTCCCTGCTTGTAGCCTGGGAAAGCAGTAAAGGATGGTCCAATGCCGTGGGACCCTGAACCCACATGGGAGACTCAGAAGAAGCTCCAGACTCCTCATTTCGGACCAGCTCAGCTCTGGCTGCTGTGGCCACTTGGGGAGTGAGTCAACAGATGAAAGCTCTTCCTCTCTGTGTATTTCCTTCTCTTTCTTATTGGACTTTCCAGTAAAAATAAGTACATCTTAAAAAAGAGCACTTTCTTTCTTTCTCTCTTTGGCACTCTGCCATTCAAGTAAATAAATACATAAATGAATTCTTTAAAATGTCAACTTTCCAAATAAGCAATCTAACAGTGTACAGAACAGCAAGTACAAGCTAATTCCAAATTATCAGGATGCAAGAAAAAATAAGGAAGATCATAGCAGAAGTAAATAAAATTACAACTAAAAATAACATGAACAATTAACAAAATGAAAGCTGGTTCTTTTCAAAGATAAATAGTAGACAAAACTTTAGCCAGACTAACAGATTAAAAAAAAAAAAACTAAAAAGAGAAACATTGGAGATGGAAAAAGAGATATTACTACTAATAAAATAAATATAAAACACCTGCTGGAGTGGATGTGGAGAGAAAGGTTCCATCCTTCACCACTGATGGGAATGTAAGCTGGTATAGCCACTGTGTAAGTCTGTACGGAGAGTGCTAAGACAACTGAAAATTGACCTGCCGTATAACCCAGCTACCCCACTTCTGGGAATATATCCAAAGGAGATGGAATCTCCATAGGAGAAAGTGACCTGTACTCATATATTGCAGTAGCATAATCTACAATAGCAAAGACATGGAAATAACCCAGATGTCCATCAAAAGAGGATTGGATAAAGGAGTGGTCTATCTAACCCATGGAATACGACTCAGCTATTAAAAACAATGAAATTCTACCATTTGCAACAAAATGGTCCCATGCTCAGTTACATGAGCCAATCCCCAAAAGACAAACGGCATATGTTCTTTCTGGGATATGGTTATGTATTACATATTATATATTATATAATATGTTAATATAACATATTACTATATCATATTAATGTTTATGTATTTATTATGTATATATACATATACTTTATATATGTGTGTGTAAAGTATATGTATAAAGTATATATATAAGTATACATACATACATATATATACTTATGTTCTCATAGATTAACTGTATCATGGAGACCAGCATACCAGGAAATGAAGATGCATCTCTACTCTGGAATAAAGTGAGGATCCCCAGTGAAGCATTAAATATACCCTGGCAACATGATACTAGATTTTCTACCATTGTTTATACCTATAATTAAATAATGCACTTAAATAGCAGAATGTTAAACTTATAACTATTACTAAAGGATTCTATTACTGTAATAATAATGGAAAGTAATATGAAGGGAAAATTGAAAGAGATTAAGGGAAGGGAAAGAGGGAACATTTGTATACCTACAAAACTGTATCATAGAAAATAATAAAAATACTTTCTGAAATTACCATATTACCAAAGAAATATAAAACATCAAGAATATCACAAATGTTATTAAGTGGGATTCACTCCAGGTGTGCAAAGATGGCTCAACATTCATAAATATGGGTATGGTGTAGTGGTAAAGTCTACTTGGAATTCCTACATCCCCAGTAGCAGTGGTCAGTTTCAGTTCTCGATTCTCTGTTTCTGATCTATGAGTTTGCATTAGCAGGGAACTAGTGGTTTAAGCGATGAAGCCCTGCCTCCCAGGTGAGAAACTTTGATTGTATTCTGGGCTCTTAGTTTTGGTCTGATGTAGCCATGACAATTGTGGGTATTTGGGGATTGATTCTGTGTGTGTGTGTGTGTTTGTGTGTGTATCTTTCAAATGAAAATAAAATATGCATAAAGCATTTGCAAATCAATAAATGCAATCAATCACACCAATAGCCTGAAGAACAAAAACTATAAGCTCTCTCAAATATATAGAAAAAAACATTTGATATATAAAATGTATTATCCTTCATGAAAAAAAACTCTCAACTAATGTGTTATATACAGAGCATGATTCAAAACAATAAAACCCGTATTTTACGAACCAATATTTAATACCTTATTGAGGAGGGGAAAGCTAAAAACATTTCCCTCAAATTTAGAAAAACCCAGAGAAGTCCACTTTCAACATTCTCATTAATACAGTAACAGATGTATTAGCAAGATTATTTTAAAGAAGAGAGAAAAACAAAAAAACACCCTAACTGCAAAGTAATGAGTCAAAATATTCATGCTTGCAGATAATAAAATTTTATATGTGGGAAAACCTAAAACATTTCAACAAAAAACTTCCAGAACTGGTAATCCAATTCAGAATT